CTTTCTTGCCAAATAACTCACATAGTAATCAATGGAGTGAGCGAAATAAGATTCTTCCTCTCGTTCTCAATAGAAACGCATCCCATGCCCAGATTTTATCTGCTACTTAGGTGCCGGCCACCCAAGAAAAGTTGATAAAAGTGAGAGCATAATCCCAGCCTTAGGATACCTATGAAAAAGATGATTAGGGAATTTGTTTTCTCGAAGACAAAGGGGATGACTGTTAACTGTGGTTATTTTTTATCATCTTAACTTTCAAAAGGTAGGAATTACCCCAGGAATCCTCTCAGACCAAAAACGCCATGCAATGGTGCTGTGTTCTTCCAAGTCTGTTTCCACCCCAGGGAAAAACTCTATTATTTCTTTCTTGCCAAATAACTCACATAGTGATCAATGGAATGAGCGAAATAAGATTCTCCCTTTCGTTCTCAATAGAAATGCCATTCCGTGCCCAAATTTTATCTGCTACTTAGGTGCTGGCCACCCAAGAAAAGCTGAGAAAAGTGAGAGCGGAATCCCATAAACTTCTAACATTAGGATACCTATGAAAAAATGATTAGGGAGTTTGTTCTCTCGAAGAAAAAGGGGATGACTGTTAACTATGGTTCTTTTTTATCATCTTAACTTTCAAAAGGTAGGAATTACCCCAGGATCTCAGAGAAAAAACACACATGCAAGGCGCTGCTGTGTTCCTCCAAGTCTGTTTCCACCCCAGGGAAATTTGAAGGCAACTGTCAATTAGGTAAGAAGATTGAGGTAGAAAGACTTGATAGAGAAATATCCATTCTTAGAAAGAGACCAAACTGTCTTATTAGAAGCACTAGGAAATATCTGACTTCTAGCCAACTGAAACACTAAGGTTATTAAATCATTAATCTCCTAGTCATTCAGGTTGCGGGAGATCAAAAAATTCAAGAGGGACTTGAGGGGTTTTGCCATGTCGTAAGCATGCTAACTGGTGCCTCTTTATCTCTGGCTAGCTTGAAGAGCCTCAGGAAATGAACTTTTAAGGGAGCATTCTGCACCAATGGTCATATGCCAGAAACTCAATTTGGCCATTTGCAATCCTCAAGTGCACTAGATCCATCACCTGACTCTAGCCCTTATCCCTTTCCAAGGACTGTTTTCATAAGTTTGTGGAGTCCTAGGAGTTTGCCCCCTGTTTATTCTTTTAACAGTATCTCAGGCCAAAAGATGGTACATCATTTTCTCCTCAGAATTGCCCCAAAAAAGGCGACATTGGATAGCTTCTGGCCTTTCAGTTACCCTAGTTGGAATAGGAAAGAGGAAAATGTGGAACATTGGCAAATTTGATAGAGTGCTTCTCTTGGTGAGTCTCCCACATTTGGATAAATAGGTGCTCTTCCATGTAAGAAGTCATTTTTTCCATATTTGCTAAATTAGATCCCAAGCATTTTGATTTTTGAAACTTTGCTTCAAGATACTTTATCGGAAGAGAAGCCACTTTGCATTTTTCTCTTTTCTGAAACTGAATTTGATAATTTCTCTCTTTCTTTTTCATTAATTTTTTAAATTTTATAAAATTTTGTAACTATGGTTATGATGGATAAAATTAGGCAGTGATAGAGGGGACTCTGTTGTATCTGGCGTGGCTATATTGTTAATGGTTGATTTTACCCCATAATATTGGATTCAACCTTCAGAAATCAAATATTGCAATTAATAACTCCTTCCAAACTGCAGCACTAATGAAATATTACTAGAATGGCATTAGACTTTGGGTTGAAGATGGCCAACAATCCCAAATCATATGATCTAGCATGACTGAATTGAATTTTGCCAATTCTGGGGATAAACTACCAGATCTGGCTGAAGAATATGGACAGATCTTGCAGAATATTCTGGTTAAATTTTGTTGTATAATCTAGATGAACTAGTGGTTAAACTTTAGGAGGGTGATAGTGTTATCTTTTTCCTTATGTAGTTTTGTTCTCTACTTATTTTTTGAAATACAGTTGATATCTACTGTTATTGGTTTGTAACTGTCAAAAGTCTTATGCAGCTATGAAGCAACCTCTTCTAAGCGAAACCGCAGCCTTGGCAAGGAGCTGACCACTGGAGCAGTAGCTTCTGTCTTCTTGGTATCGTCTCTTCTGTCTGTCTCTTGGTATTTGCAGATCCAAACTGGTATTATCATCTCGATACTAACTGCTGAATCTTTGATGCCTGGTGCAGGGTTTTGGATCCTTGTTTTTGCTACTCGCTTCTGGCGTTTATGTCTGATATCTAAAATTTAGTAGTGGAACTTTGCTAAGCGGGATCAATTTTATTTATTATAGAGATATCGAGTTTAGCATCAGTACTAAAAAGATTTTTTTGTTGATCCTGAGATGAAGATAATTTTTTGCCAATAAACATCATTGAGTTTTTACTTTTGGTCTTAAAATTTTTTTTAACTGTGGCATGGATGTTAGATGATATTCTACTGTTTAGTTTTCTTAGGAAGGTCGCCAAGGAATATATGCGATTAATGAGATCGGATTGAATTCTTTTCTAGTTTTGAACAATTCAGGGATCAACCAGTTGCTTTTGTCACAAATTTTGAACAATTAGGATTTGATCCGATAGAAATGTGCCAGCATGGCAGCACCTCCAAATCAGTATTTACCTAACTCAGTGACATGTTTATATGTATATTCTCTAAAACTGTACCCAGACAAAAAGAGATCACTTGTTATGGATTAGTTGAGAATGATTCTGGTATAATTTTAGTGTATTAGAATTAGAAGACGCTTTGGTAAGATTTTCATGGATAGAAAAAGATTGCAGTTAGTTTAATGATGATCAAGTGACATTGTTTTTTTGGTTCGAACCAGAAAATTTCTTCTATATGATGCAAAATGGACATTGGTCTATTGGTGGTCAAATATTTTTTTAATAAAAAAATGTGAATTGAAATTTGAAGAAAGGGAAGGAGTTTTCAACCTGAAATAGATAGAAGAATTTATTCAATCGCATAGTTTGAGCTCTCGCAAAATATTTTTGGAATTTTTTATTTGATTATAACGAAAGACCGAATAAATTGAGATTTCTCTATTGAATCAGATCATTTTAGTGCAAGTGAATCATTTATGATGAAAAAGATGAACTTCAAGCAAATGATTTAGAGTTCTTACATAGTGAAATCATGCAGTATCAAACATGAGATAAATCTTCTAAAGAGCAATTTTTTTTTTATTTTTTTCAAATAAGCCAATTCATCTGGCCCATTTGGAAGCACTCTTTTTCCTATTCAAAATGATTATATATATATACATTCTCTAAAACTAGACATGGTTGAAAGAAACATGACTGTAATATTTATAAAGAAATCAACTTTGGCAGGAACAGGGACCAGGTGGAAAGTCAGTTACCTGAAGTTGTGTTGGCTGTCTGTGTATGGAGAGATCGGGAGGGGGTTCAATGTAACAAATCCAAAATTAATTTCTCTACTTTACTTGTAAATTTATATTTAGTTTAATTAAAAACTGGTATTGTTTTCAAATAATCAAAATTAATTTTATATTAAATTACTGGGGATTTGAAATATTATATTTTAGGTGTTAATATTATATATGTATTTGTAAATTTTACATTAATTATCATTATTTTTTGATAAAATTAATTTTTTTAAGTTATTGGAAGTGTAAATTTATAAATAAATCTGTAAATAAATTTATAAAATATATGTATATATATATTTGAGATGTAACATTAATTTTTTAAGCTTTTTTTTTTGTCTCAAATGCTTTTATCATTTAACTTTCCATTAATCTTTTACACGCGCTTTTTCTCCAAGGGTAAAATGCAAAAAACACTCAAAAGAATCATAATTTACCAAAAGAAATGGTTACATAATACGAACGCGCTTTATATTGAATTGGAGGCTGCCATCAAATTCAAATGCCAGATGCAGGCAGGTTCCCCGACTATATAAGTTATAACCTCATCTCACTTTTCTTCTTCCTGCAACTATACAGACAGATAAACCCTAAAACTACGTGAATAGAATCTCCATTTCAGGTACCTCCATTACCTTGTCTCTGCTTTCATATGCAAACACACAACCTCAGATTATTTAAAAAAGAAAACCAATAAGAGAAGATTTTACTGTATTCCCGTTTTAAAAGTTTTGACTGCTCGCTCCACTACAAACAATCTTCCTCCTTTTTTACTTTGATTTTGACCAATTTAATTTGCCTTTTTCCTGTTTGCGCTTAGTGAGTAACAGAGACCCACTCGAGGTCCCTCTCAGTCGGTTAGTATTAAGTGTGAGGGAGAGGAAAGGTGCCAGAAATGGAGAACCAACAACAAGCTGTTGCTGCTCCCAAGAAGAGAGGCCGCAAACCCAAACCTAAAGACGATTCCCACCAGCAGACTACCCCCAAGATGAAGGAGGCTAAGAAACCCTACCACCCTTCTGTCGACGAAAAGTACACTCAATGGAAGTCTCTCGTTCCCGTCCTCTACGACTGGCTCGCTAACCACAATCTCGTTTGGCCTTCTCTCTCTTGCCGGTAACACTTGCCTCCCTTTTTTCCCTAGGGTTTATCGAACTTCATTCACTCACTTTAGGTATTTCTTCTGCCTTATTTTCTTTTTGGTCTTCCTGCTTTTTTTTTCTACCTCGTATGATGTTCGTTTCTTTTCTTTTTTGCTTGCTCACAGTCTCCCGACCGTGCTTAACTTCTGCACTAGGATTTAGGAGATTGCATGTCTCTCTCTGTGGATCTTGGATTCTTGACTTCTTATTCCTTTGGATGAGAAATTCCTGATGTTTGCGAACCCTAGAAATGGCTCTCGCATTTTTATACTGACATTTCTTTGGTGGATTTTCGAATGGAAGTTCTCTTGGCTCACTATAACGTCTATATTTGTCTCTCTAGAGGACACGACTTTCTTGTGCGAATTGGTTGCTATTTACGTCTTTTTTATTTTGGGTTGGATTAATGAAATACAAGTGTAGTTGGGTTTAATCTTGAGCAACCTCGGAGATATTCACTTTTTGAGGGAATGATTGTTCATCACTTCTTTATTGGTCAGTGTTTTATGTTATTTGCAGATGGGGCCCACAGCTTGAGCAGGCAACTTACAAGAATCGCCAACGTCTCTACTTATCTGAACAGGTTGGTTCTGATCCTTCTGTTTGTTGCTACTGATATCTGAATCCATGAAGCTTTGCAGGTATTTTTCTGCTGTCTCTGTTATGTGAATATGTACCCAAGAAAACCTTAATCTTATCTTCCTTGCGTAATGCTTTTGAATTCTAAATTCCAGTGGCTTACTTTCTTCACTTCAAATTTCTCCATTTAGGTACTCGTTGATTTTGGTTTAACTAGTAGTATATTTAAATATATCAAGGTCTCCAAGGCCCGTGATGGACCATATAAAGTTGTTTCTTGTGCATCACAGTATAAGATTGGTTCTTTGTAATATGCAGGATTTTACCAATTCTTTCCTCTTCTCATAAATTGGTTTTCATTTCTATTGTCAGACTGACGGTAGTGTCCCCAATGCTCTTGTTATCACTAATTGTTAGTTTAACTAGTAGTATATTTAGATATATTAAGGTCTCCAAGGCCAGTGATGGACTATACAAAGTTGTTTCTTGTGCATCACAGTGTAAGATTGGTCCTTTGTAATATGCAGGATTTTACTGATTCTTTCCTCTTCTCATAAATTGGTTTTCATTTCTTTTGTCAGACTGATGGTAGTGTCCCCAATGCTCTTGTTATCGCTAATTGTGAGGTTGTAAAACTAGGGTTGCAGCTGCTGAACATATATCTCAGGTAATATGCTTAGTGTTCTATTGTTTCTATCAGCTGCATGATAAACGAAATTTCGGTAACAACGGGGTATGTTTTTATTATTTCTCGTGCTTTATATTTCAGTTTAATGAAGAAGCCAGGTCACCATTTGTGAAGAAGTACAAGACTATCATACATCCTGGAGAGGTGCATATGACATAAATATCTTTTGTGTAGATACATGCCTGCATATGTTCTCTTTTTGAGGGAATACATGTGTAAATTTTTATTTTATTTTTGACTTCTTTGTGTGAGTCGATCTTTCCTGTTTCTGAATGCTAAGAAGTTAAGCAAAATTTTGGAATTGGCAAATTTGCGCGTCATACACTCATTGTAATTTGTAGATTCTTCGAGATTTGCTTTCTCTTAAATAACAGAATATTGTACTGATATTCTAATCACTTTATGGTATTTTCAGTGATTACTGATTTCTATTTTGCAGGTCAACAGGATCAGGGAACTTCCACAAAACAGTAAGATTGTTGCCACCCATACTGACTGTCCTGAGGTAACTTCTTATTTTGTTAGTCCATTTTGATTCTAAATTTGGAAAAATTAAGATTTTCATGGTATCTCTACATATTCAGGTTCTTATTTGGGATGTGGAAGCTCAACCTAATCGTCATGCTGTCCTAGGAGCAACAAATTCCCGTCCAGATTTGGTGCATCTTACTGGCTACATGCAAATTTTTTATTTTCTTTTCTCTTTAATACACATTATTTTTACACATGCATCGTATAGGCCCATTTGGTTGAGTTCTCATGGTTATTTCAGTGTCATTAAATTTATAAATTATTTTTTAAGTAGGTCTTCTGCTAATGCATCTGTATAGTGACCAGCAGTTCTATATCTGATCTGTTGTAAGACCAGCTTTAGAATATTATCTAAATAGACAATACTTACCTGGAGATACTTCATATTTCGAAAAAGAGAAGCAATAGAATAGAATGTGCATTTGGATGGAAAATAAAGTAATTAATGTTGCATTTTACCAATAGAAAGACTTTAGAAAACTTAGGTTGAATTCCATACCGAGAATTGGTTGTCAGGAAAAGGCTTTTGGTTACAATTCTAAGGTCTTGGTTGGTAATTTTTCATGTTTTTCTTAAAGCATTTTTAATCTTGCTGATAGACTGCAGGAAATCTAATAGTTTTTGTTGGATTAATTGTGAAAAAGAATTTAAGAAATTGTTTTCCATGTTTGTGCTCATTTGCTTTTTTCCCTCTTGTTTAATTAGAACTCTTCTTGCAGATTTTGACTGGTCACCAAGATAATGCGGAATTTGCTCTTGCAATGTGTCCCACTGAACCCTTTGTCCTCTCTGGAGGTTGGGAAATTTGTGTTAGTTTTGTTAATTTCTTAGTTAATGAATCTCTTATACCATTAAGTTTTCTAGTATTTGAAGTAAAATCGTAATGAAGTATCCCCTTTATATGAAATGTTATGAACTGATATTCCACTTCAAAAGGATGTTATAATTTTGATTATGTTAATGAAGTGTTGTAGTTCTCTTATTTTCGAAGTTTATATTTTCTACGCATGCTTTAAGGAATGCTAAGGAATGCCTACTTGCATAAGATTTTATTATCTTTTTAGATGTTATTTTTGTGAGTTAGTATAAATATGAAATTACTCACGGCAGGGAAGGACAAATCAGTGGTTCTATGGAGTATTCAAGACCATATCACAGCAACTGCTGGCGATGCCAAATCTCCAGGGTCTGGTGGATCAATTATTAAGCAAACTGGGGAAGGAAATGATAAGGTTGCTGATGGTCCTTCTATTGGTCCTCGTGGTGTCTATTTAGGGCATGAAGATACAGTTGAAGATGTTGCATTTTGTCCATCAAGGTAACTTGCATGGTCTAGTTAAATTTTTTCCTCTCAGGCAGTTAGTTGACAAAGTCTCATCTTTTAATTAAAACATGATGATAGGATGTTAATTGTGCTTTTCAATGTTGGGAACTCATTAGAATTGTAGAGTACCATGTAAAAATCATCCTTTTTCTCTCTTAATGATGGCAAGGAAATTTGAGGTGCAAGTAAAACCAAATGATATCGAAATGAGAAAACAAAAGAAAAAGTATAGCTCCAAGTCAGTTCATGATAATAAGCCAGTATTGTTGTGCTGCCCAAGTTGCAAAATGGAGCTGAGGCTGAGACTAGAGGTGAGAAGAGAGAGGAGCTTCATTGACGCGATAAGGAAGGCATGCAATAGAGGAGCCAGATAGGGAAGATAAGATCTAGCCTCAAGATGGGTGGGGTAAAATTCAAAATTTAACCTACCTTGAAATGTGGGGATGGGGCGTCATTGTGTTTATTTGATGGGTTCGAATGGGCCTCGATTTGGACACCCCAAGGACAAGAAGCAGGCTGGATTTATTGAACATTTTACATGGCTGAGAAAAGGAAGTGGGTCAAGCAGGCCGGGTTAGGGAAACAGGTTAAAAGCTTTAGGTCTAGGTCCAGATCTGTGACTTGTGATGAGAAGGGAAACCCAAGCTGCACATTGGGGGAGATTAGAAGACTTCTAGCGCAGCTGTGATGGCGGACTTAGAGGTAGATTTTGACGGCGAAAAGTGTAACAAAGAAAAGGGGAAGTCTAATGGAGATTGGGAGGAAGAAGAATTGGGTAGTGAAATGGTGACGGAAGTTGAAGTTAGTTTGACAAAGAGCACTGTAGCCGAGAAGGAAGAAGGGGGATTCGTTTTGCTGGTTCTGGCGGTGTATGATGAGGTTGAAGAGGAGTTGGGACAGGACAAAATGGCTATGGTGCAGAAGGATGAGGTGTTGATGGAGGATGATATGGGAGGGAAGAGGAGGGAGTTGATTAAGGAAGAAAATTCTAGATAGGTACTTCAGAACAT